CTCCCTTGAAAGTATTAAAAGCAGACTAGATCATACAGAAAATTGAATCTCAGATGTGGAAGATAGAATCGCTGGCCTAGAAATATCCACCACGAAGACTGAGAAAACAGCCAAAAAAAAAAAAAAGAGAGAGAGATAATATACAAGAAATATTAGAATATTAGATACAATTAAAAGTCTAAAACATCCAAATAATCTGTATCCCAGAAGGTGAGGAAACTAAAGACAATGATAATCTATTCCATGACATCCTGGATGAAAACTTTCCAAACCTAGAGAGGCATTCAAAGATGCAGACCCAAGAAATACAAAGGACCCCAAATAGAATCAACCCAAGATGGTTTCTCCAATATACATTATAGCCAGATTGACCAAAACCAGAAAGATATTAAGATTGGCAAGAGAGAAACGTCAAGTTACCTACAAAGGATATCCCATCAGGCTAACAGAAGACCTCTCATCAGAAACAATGTGAGCAAGGGAAGAATGGGAAAATATATTCAAAGTGTTAAGGGAAAAACAATTTCAACCAAGAATACTGTACCTGGCAAGATTATCCTCCATATGGGAAGAGAAGACAAGAACATTCTCAGATACACAAAATCTGAAAGAATTTACTAACACCAGACCAGCTCTCCAAGAAGTTCTGAAGGGAGTGCAATAACAGGAAAACTAAAGTCACACAGAAATGAGAGTTCAAAAACAATTTTAAAAATGGCCAGGAAATGGCAAAGGAAAGTTCAGAGTTGAATGTTATCTTCCAAAATTTAAATGGAAAGACTGGACCACAACGGAAGATAAAATTATGTACATGAGACTGAACTGGTGAAATGGAATTTTATGACTTTTGACTAAAACATTACTAATCTTTTTCTACGCTTTGTTTTCCAGAGTTAAGGATTTTTGTCTTCTCTTGAGTTGTCAATAGGCCCATGTACATATTATTTGAACAGAATCGTAACCTGTTTCCTCACTTTAAGTCTTAAGCAAAGTTCTCTCTTTTTGGGGGGTGGGGTGGGGGGAGAGGTTTTTGCTATAGAGCGCGTGCACTCACCAGACAGAGACAGAAAGTGAGAAATCACCCCCCGGGGGGGATGGCCACACTGCAATCCCTTCTCCATTCTCCTCTCAGGATCTTGGGCATGCACGCACACGTGCCCAGCTTGAGTTTTAAGCCACTGGGTCTGGGACTCGAACTGCGGTCGACTGCATGAGAGTTCAGCGACATAGCCATTATGCTAACTGCTGGTCCCAAGCAAAGTTCTCTTAACATTTTTTTATTTTGATTTATTAAAGCTTAAATTGCCTTTCTTGAAGTTAAAAAAATGTATTAAAAAATACTTATTTAATACCTAAATACAGTAAGCTATATAGCCTCAGCTAGGTCCTACTTTATAGTATATTCATTCTACTCAAGAGTTTCATGCCTAAAGTCAAACATGTATTCACATATACGTATATATCAGCTAAACTTGCTATTGAAAGTAGTTAGACTAATTAAGATATTTTGTGAATCAATAAAATGTGGGGGGAAAACAGAAAAGGAATGGAAAGCAACTGCAGATATCAAAGTGTGAGAGGAGGGTGGAAAATGGCAGAGGGTGAGAAATAGGGGGTTAAAATATACGTATACGTATAATATATATGGAAAATTATTTGTTGACGATAACATGTACAATTAAGCCACTGTACAGTGTATTCTGGATTGGAAATTACGTATTGTATGCTGTGATGTTCAGTGAATAAATGTAAAATAAATAAATTCAAAATTAATAAACAGAGAAAAAAATAAAACAATGTCGTGATAGAAGTAGGGACTAGAATGATGCCCCTCAAGCTGCCAGAAGATTCCTGGGAGTCTCCAGAAGAAGCTAGGAATATGACTTTAGCCCAGTAAAACTAATTTTGAGTTTCTGCTCTCAAGAACCACAGAGCATAAATTTGTATTGTTTGAAGCCACTAAGTTTGTGATCATTTACTATAGGCCATAGGAAACTAATTATTAACATGGTATCTTAAACAATCAAAATGCAAGATCTGCATTTGTTTCATAAAATGTGTTAAAAACCAAAAGTACTGGGACAGTAGGTAGCATGGAGTTTAGGGCACTGGATCCCACATAGTCAACTGCATAATTTGAATTCTGGGTCTGGCGTTTTGAATTATCACTCCAGATGCATGTGTGTGCATGCCCAAAATCCAGAGAAGACAAGATGGGAAGGGATTGTAGCATGGCCATTCCCCCAGGGAGTGATTTCTCACTTTCTCTCTTTCTCTGTGGTGAGCACACACAACCTATAGCAAAAACTAAAAACTAAAAAATAAAAATTGCAAATATTATCCAACTCGAAATGGATATAATTTCTCTCTAGAGAGAATTATGTATAAATATATATACTTATATATAATATAGTCATATATATAATATATAACTATATATATATATAATTCTATGTGTGTGTGTATATATATATATATATATACACACTTTTCATTTGTATGACTTTTATATATATACACACATATATATTTACCTAGTTTTAAAACACAATGACATCTTTTAGGACAGGTAAAGTAAGGATTTACTCTCAAATGTTAAAAAGGTTCTATTGTTGGGTGGCAGGTGGCATGGTGGTTAAGGTGCTGGACTCCCACATGGCTGACCATCATTCAAATCCTGGACCTGGCAGCTGGCTTTCTCACTTTCCCTCTTTTTGTCTGGCCAAATTAAAAAAATAAGTAAAATTAAAAATTCATGCTATATGATGTGATTGAATGTGTAAAACAACTTGAAATAAAACAATAAAATAAAAAATTCATTTAAAAATAAAAATAAAAAAGGTTCTATTGAATTACTGGAGTTGAGTAAATGGCTATCTCATTTGCTAATGAAATAATGACTACACTCACTATTTCCTCATATCAGAGGTTCCCTCGTTCCTTTCCAAACTGACTCAGAGTCATACAGGACATACATATGTATTACAGATATATATAAAGATACATAAATGGAAAAAAAAAAAAGTCATACAAATGAAAAGTGAGGCTCCTCATCAAAACTATATCTTGTGGATTCATTTGCTAGTTTTCTAGTCCTGTAATGTACCCTACACTAATAATGCATATTATTTTCAGGAAATAGATCTGAATGTTCTATATCTAAACCATTAAATGTAATCCACAAATACAGCTGTAATATCTGCTTAGTTAAAAATTAGCTGCATTCTGGGACCAGCAGTTAGCGTAATGGCTATGTCGCTGGACTCCCACGTAGTTGACCGCAGTTCGAGTCCCAGACCCGGTGGCTTAAACTCACGCCGGGCGCGTGTGCGTGCGTGCCCAAGATCCTGAGAGGAGAATGGAGGAGAAGGGATTGCAGTGTGGCCATCCCCCCTGGGGGGTGATTTCCTGCTTTCTGTCTCTCTGTCTTTCTCTGTCTGTCTGGCGAGTGCACGCACCCTGTAGCAAAAACCTCTCCAAAAAAAGGAAAAAAAAAATTAGCTGCATTCAAGAAATAAAACTCAACTACTTTACTAAGACATTTGCATAGCATGAAAAGAACTATACAAAGAAGTCTTTTAACACATTCAAGAAATATTCTGGAATGTGTTAAGGGAGATGAATCCCACATGACCAATCAAGCGTCTAATCCTGGCCTTGGAGACTTGAAAAACACACTGGGTATGTGTGTGTGTGCATGTGCCCCAAATCCTGGCAGGATAGATAAATGGAGAATGGATGGCAGAATGACTATTCCCCAACGTGGGATGCTTTTTCCTTCTCTTCTTTGCATCTCTCCATCTTTCACTGATGAATGCATGAGCCCTGAAGCAAGTTTTTAAAAAGTATTCACAAAATATATAAAATTTAGAATTTACCTGTTCAAATAAAATTATACTCTTGAAGCAAATGTCCTCACAGAGTAAGCTGGTTCGACTCCTAGCCCCAGGAGCTTAGAAACCATGTTGGGTGGGGCCAGCAGGTAGCACAGTGGTTAAGGTGCTGGACACTTCCACATGGCCAACAGCTATTCAAGTCCCAGACCTGGTGGCTTTCTCTCTCTCTCTCTCTCCCCCCCCTCTCTATCTCTCTCCTCCTCTGTATCTTTCTGGTGAGTGCATGTGCCCTGTAAAATAACACACTGATCATGTGTGTGTACATGCCCCAAATCATAGCAAAATAGAGGATTGTAGTATGACCACAATCCAGTGGGGTGGAAAGGTATTTTTTCCCTCTGGTGAGTGTGGCATGCATACACACACATACTCTGGCAATTAAAAAAAAAGACATACAAATAAGAATAAATAAAACTTTGGGATCTATAGAGAATAATTCAAGCAAAAAGTAGAGCTTAACTTCTCTATTGCACTGTGAATTCACCATTTTTCTACTACTTAGAATACTTCCTTCATAAATCAATGGTGTGCCAGGCTCATTAATTTTTTAAAAATAATTACATTATTATTTTTTAATTTGCTATAGAGCACATGTACTCATCAGACAGAGAGAGAGAGAGAAAGAAGTGAGAAAGCAAGCCTCCAGGTCCAGGACTCAAACTGTACAGGGTCAGCCATGTGGGAGTCCAATGCCTTAACTAACAATCATGCCACCTTCAGGCTCACTCACTAATTTCTTAAGTGACACTTAAAGATATATATATTTAATTTTATTTATTGTTACTATAATTTTTTTTTAAATTTTGACCAGAGAAAGAGAAAGAGAAGGAAAGTGAGAGCAAGCCACCAGGTCTGGTACTTGAACCATAGTCAGTCATGTGGGAATCTAGTGCCTCAACCACCATGCCACCTGCTGGCCCCAATTTTTTTAAGTAATACTTTTGTACATATGTTTACATTTTCAAAATTCTCTAGAGTAATATAGAAAAACAGGACCCATCTCATTTAAATCTTACCTAGAATAGTGCATCAACTTTACAGTGTAATGAGTATTAGTGTGACATTAACATGAATACAAAAGTAAGACTACAAACTGATGTTTTCTTTTAGAAAATTTTCTTTTATAATCAATTCCAAACACACAGTACAGGGAAGATGGAATAAGAAAAAAAAAATTATTTTATTTCCCTGTTAACACTCAACCATATAATTCAAAATGTGTTTCAAAATACTTAGCCAGGTCACCAATCCCAGTCACTACCTTAGTTCCAAAGTTCACTAAGAAAATAGTCAAACAACAGAAATCTATTGTTAGTTACTGTCTAGAAAGAACAGCTACATTGCTATATATATTAACTTAGTAGTTTAGTTTCTCAATATTTAGCCAAGTTTGCTTAAAAATTACTATTCCCATTGGTTTATAGTGACATTAATATAAATGCATAATTTCAAAGTCAACATTCCTTTCACTACAAACATAAAACTTCTTAGAAGATAATTATGGGTTGGGGTACAGTAATATAACTCTGGCTGCTGGGATAGCACTGTTCAAAATAAAAAAGATTGGCAGGCTTGGAAAGGAATAAAAGATATATACACTCTCTCCATATGCTCCTATTTCCCACATTTTTGCTGTACATACTTGTCTTATAATGTTATAAATTATTTCAAGTTTGAAAAAACAATCAAGATGAATACATTTTTATCTTCATTTCAAAATAAACCTTTTAAATGAAAAAATTATTCATGTTTAAATCTGTTCAAGAAATGGATTTAAATCACTACCTGTACAATGTTTTCATCCTTTCTTAGTGCCTCATTACAACCAGTTTGGCAGTAAGACCTGCAGTACTTTTATTAAAAACTGTATTCAATAGGTTATGAGACTATTAAATCTACATTTGAATCCTTAAAACATTCAATTAACAACAAAGTCCAAAAAACATGTATGACCATTTATCAACATCTTGGGGTCCTGTCAATTATTGCAAAATAATAATCTCACTTATGCATATAATTCAAACAAATTCTGTGGGGTAGGGGCATAAAAGAAATACCATACTAGTTTTTCAGTTCTGTATAAAACTGCCTAAATAGTTAGATGAAAAGGTTAATATTATTAGTAAGAAAACTATTTTAAGTACTTGTTTCTAAGTTGTTATTGATAGAACAATTTTGCAAAAACAAAGAAAAGCAAGAGCCTATGCCAATACATTTTTTCCTGTAGTGTAATGTAATTGCTAATATGAGGTAAATCTGTAAGCAATTAATACAATTATAAATAGGTATAAGACACCACTAAATCAGTCTGGCGAAAAGCTTCTCTGATAAAATAGTTTGGGAAGAGGATTAAGAGAAATGAGAAGGGGCAGACAGTGCAGATTTCAAGTGGGAACATCACTTACGTGCCTTATCATTATCATTATCACCTTCTATGTAACAATCCACTGTTGCAGAAAGGTAAATCTTTTCCAAGAATGCTGGCCTTTGTGTAGTATGGCAAGATTTAAATATTACTAATGCTTAATTTGTATCTATATTTGGATATACATATAATCACATATGCATGTCAAAAACTATAAGCAGAATTGTATAATACTTTTATATCATTTTGAAAAAGTTAACAGTTATGATGCAACTATGCACTATAGAATGTTCTAGAATATCTTAACTCAGGGCAAAAACCAAGGGAAAACATTACGATTCTCTAGTAAATGGCTTGTTTGAAACCTCAAGCTCACTCATCTTTTTATACATGGATTTATTTGATGAGGACTGTGATCCAATGATTGTTTAGCAGCAATTTTACCAAACTGTAAATTCTTTTATTAGCAGGCATTATAAACAGATAATACTAATCTTATTTAAAAACCATGAGTGCCACACTGATGAATATACAACTCATGAATAACTTTGAATAACTTAAAAAGTATTTCCCATTTTAAAAGGCAACACACAGCTTACAAAAACCTATACTAAACAAAGAAACTATAATATGGATACATGATTGATGTGTCTAAAATTATATACAGTACATAATTAATGTTAATTATGTGATCAGTACATTTTTGTATATGATTCCATTCACGCTTCACTTTCTCCAGAAACTGAATTCTGAACTTCCTCTTCTAAAATTGGTACAATCAGGTTATCCTTGGACATCAAATTGTATTTCATCACAAATTTAGTAAACCGATGACACAAAAATGTTTCGTTCTGTGGAGAAGAAAAGAATATGATTTTAATTTACTATCCCAAACCAAAAAGCTAGAAATAATTAAATAACATATATTATGTCATTTTGACAGAAGTGCACCAAAACGTGAAATATACTTACTTCATATTCATCGAATATCTGCCGGTGATGAAAATAAGCATGTGAAAATATTCTGTAAATCCTACGGCATACTGATCCTAGTTTTGCTACAGATGATTCCTTTATGCTAACCCTAGAAACAAAAAATAGATTAGATTCACAGGACTGGGTAGAATCTTAGGAATAATATAGTCCAATCTTTTCAATTCATAAGTATGGAAAATGACACTAAGAAAAATAAGTGACTAGTCCAAGGTCACTGAGCTAACAAGTACCAGGAGCTGGGCTGCAATCTCAGTCTTCTTTCTACCCAAACATGGTGCCTAAATTAAATCTGGTATGACAGTTTTGAAAATTTTGTTAGTTTAATGCAGTTAAAATAAATTTCTGACAACTCAAAACTTACTAAAACATACATTTGCAACATTAATACTTTGTCAACTGGCGCCAGCAGGTGGCATGGTGGTTAAGGTGCTGGACTCTCACAAGGTTGATTGTGGTTCAAGTCCTGGACCTGGTGGCTTGCTTTCTCACATTCTTTCTCTCTCTCCCTCCCTCTCCACAGTGAACACACATGGCCTACAGCAAATCTTAATAATAACAACAGCAGGGACCAGCAAATGGTGTAATGTTTACATCACTGGACTCCCAAGCAGTTGACTGTGGTTTGAGTCCTGGATCCAATTGGTTAAAACTCACACCAGTCATGTGTGTGTGTGTGTGTGCGTGCCCAATGTCCCAAGAGGAGAATGGAGGAGAAAGGACTGCAGCGTGGCCATCCCTCCTGGGGGGGTGATTTTTTGCTTTTGTCTCTCCAGCAAGCACACATGTCTATAGCAAAAATCTCTTAAAAAAAAATAAGATAAATTAAATAAATTAATTAAAATGTTAAGTTATTTTAAAAAATACTTTGTTGACTAAATATGATTAAGACTACTAAAAGGAATTTTTTTTATTGTACAGAACTAATTATTTCCTTTAAAAAACAATAAAAATTGCAAATTTCTGATATTCTTTATAAAAATATGTATAGTCATGATGTTTACCTGCTAGGAAAATATTTATTGCTATTCAGAAGACATGCAGCACCATCAAGTGTGTGTCTAGTATAATCTATAGCAGGACACTACAAAAGAAAAGATACAAAATGCATCAACAAAGAGCTCTTCAATTAGGTAAATTTATTACACAGATATCTAATTATAAAGATATGAGCATTCCAAGAAAAAAGTCCTTACAATTTCAGAATGCTTATAAAACAATGTTATATCAATATCTCCATGAATCATATCAAGCTTCTAGAAGATACATGAACCAGTCTCCCATTTTTATTTCCAACATTGTACCTAGAAGAAAACAATGTTCAAAGGTGGGAAGAACCCCTACTTATATAATCCAACTTGCTGAAAAATACAAGGAAATATAGGAAAATGAGGCTTTGAATCGTCAGTGGTTTATTCAAGTTTATACAATTACATGGCCAGCAAATAAGAGTGGCAGCTGAAGTGCTGGACTCCCATATGGCTAATTGTGGTTCAATTCCCAGACCCAGTGGCTTGCTTTCTCATTCTCTCTCTCTCTCTCTCTATCTCTGTGTGTGTGTGTGTGTGTGTGTGTGTGTCTTTGGTCAAATTAAAAAATAATAAATAAAATTAAATAAGTATTTTTTTTAAAAAGAAGCCTCCTGCTCTTCAGAGTATCTTGAGATCACTGACTTCTTACATTCTAAAAAATATTTGTTACTAAATCTTTGCAATCTTATTAACAATCTAGCAGCTCTCTAAAGAACTTTGTTGAGGGAACCAGCAGTTAGCGTAATGGCTATGTCGCTGGACTCCCCCGTAGTCGACTGCGGTTCGCGTCCCAGACCCGGTGGCTTAAAACTCACGCCGGGCGCGTATGCGTGCATGCCCAAGATCCCGAGAGGAGAATGGAGGAGAAGGGATTGCGGCATGACCATCCCCTCTGGGGAGTGATTTCTCGCTTTCTGTCTCTATGTCTCTCCGTCTCTCTGGCAAGCGCACATGCCCTATAGCAAAAACCTCTCAAAAAAAAAAAAAAAAAAACTTTGTTGAGTTGTCTCATAGCTCAGTGGATAAGGGAGCCATATCCTACAAGGCTGACTGATTCAAATCATGGCCCTGGCCAGGCACATGTCCATGTATGCCTAAAATCCTGAGGAGAAATAGGAGGAGAAAGGACAGCGGTATGACCATGCCCCATTGAAGGGTTCTCTCTTTTTTCTCTCCAGCAAGCACAAATGCCCTCTGGCAATTATTAAAAAAAGAAAAAAAGAAAAAGAACATCTTCTTTGAACCTCCTTTGAATTTTTCTATCTTTAAAACTCAATTTCATTTATTATTATTTTTAAAATTTGTTATAGGACATAGGCATTCAACAGAGAGAGACAGAGAAAGAGAGAGAGAAAGTAAGAAAGCAAACCATCAGGTCTAGGACTTGAACTACAGTTGGCCATGTGGGAGTCCAGCACCTTAACCACCATGCCATCTACTAGCCCCAAACCTCCTTTGAATTTTAATATGACATTTCAATGTTTTTCTTAAGTATTTTAATAAGTCACTCTTACTAAATTTACCAAAAGCAATGAACCTATGATCTAATGACAAATAAGAATACTTATTAAGGGAAAAATCAAACTGCAAAGCAAGGGCTGAAAAAGTGGCATGGTGGTAAAGTGTGATGTTCTATAAGGCAGACCCATATGGTAAGGCACTGGGTTTGTGTCTAGAGACTTCCCTGAGTACACTGGACACACACATGTCCATGATCTAGAGTTGGCTGGGGGTGGACTGTGGCACTGGGACTCTGTTGAAGTGCAGTGGGGGGGGCTCTCTCTTTGACTCTCTCTCCCACTCACAGAATAACTTAAAAATACAAAGTAATTCTCCTTATCCAGTCCTCCTGAGGGCAAACAGGAAATCCACATCAGAGTACTAGGAAGGAACCAGAGTTAACTAGAAAGAAAAAACAACTAGACTCTAGCTCTATCTAGTAATTAGAATATTTTTCAAATGCTGAGACAGAGACTGGTATTTAGAAATACAAATTAATAACAACTTAAGTGAAACTGGAATGAAACTGGTCTTCCAAATAAATATTACTTGCTTAAAAGGTACCAGATATTCCTTATTTTGGAAAATTTACCCTTTTTCAAACAAAAGATCATCAGATACTTACTTTGCAACTATTGAGTAAGAAGTCTATACTGTAACAATTTAAAGGTAAATAATTCTACAGAACTGGCCTAATTCAATATCCCCAATGAATCAGTATCTAGTAAAGAGCAATCACTACAGATGACAACTAAGGAAAAGTGTCTATGTATGTACTGAATATCAAACGAAATTAATTATTTAAAGAAAAAAGTACTTTAAACAATTGACAAAAAGCAAAATGAGAATAAAAACAACATGAATATTAAAAAGCTTAAAAGTGGGGCCAGCAAGTAACATGGTGGTTAAGGATATACTGGACACTCAAATGGCTGACTGTGGTTCAAGTCCCAAACCTGGCAGCTTGTGCTCTTTCTCTCTCTCTGGTCAAATTTAAATAAATAAATAAATAAATGAATAAATGGATAAGTAAAGTTAAATAATTCTTTAAAAAAATAAAATATAATAATAAAAAAAAGTTCAAAAGTAACACTCCGAGGGTCAGCAGGTGGAATGGTGGTTAAGGTCATTCCCACATGGCCAACCATGGTTCAAGTCTCAGACCTGGTGGCTTGCTTTCTCATTTTCCCTTTTCCTCGTGTCTCTCTCTGGTCAAATTAAAATAAGTGAATAAATAAATTAAATGAATATTAATAATAATTAATTTTAAAGAAGTAACATTCTGGGGCCAGCAGGTGGTATGGTAGATGAGGGCACTGGATTCCCACAGGTCTAACCATGGTTCAAGTCCCAGGCCTGGTGGCTTGCTTTCTCTCTCTCACTCTAACTCTGTCCCTCTCTGGTCAAATTTTAAAATAAATAAATAAATAATAAATAGACAAATAAAGTAAAGTAATTCTTAAAAAAAAATGAAACATGATGCTGATGGCACAGTTGGACCCATGGGAAGATCCTGGGTTTACATCCCAGGGTCTCCCTGTATATGCCGGGACACAGTGGACATTAGTGCAATGTGACAGATGTTATTCTGTGATAATTAGTGAATTTAAAGTTCTAACTCAAGTAATTGCCCAACTATAAAAAAAATCTTAATCATAAAAAATCCTGAAAGAGTACTACAATAATAACTTTGCAGCAAGGAACTCTAAAAAAAGGCAAACTAAGCATGGAACTAAAAACCTGGGGATGGATGGTAGTGCAGACAGATGGTAAAACACGCTCTGCAAGGCTGACCTTCATGGGAAGGTTCTGGGTTCATGGTCAAAGATGTACCTGAGTATGCTGGGCACCCACGGGCCCATGATGTAGGGCTGGCTGAGGCCAGATGGGAGCAGAGCATAGGATCAGGATCTTTTTGGGGGTACTATATCTCTCGCTCATGGAAAAAAATAAATTTTTAAAAATTAAAACAAACAAACAAACTCTAAAAAACTGTCTACCATTATCTTGGAGCAATTTATGTTATGATAACTTTATTAGTCATTCTGTTTCATAAATCCTCACCTCTTTTGGAGTTTTATGAGCTGCACAAAGAAAAATCCATTGTTCAGTTGCTGTCATTTAGACAAATAAAGTAAAGTAATTCTTAAAAAAAAATGAAACATGATGCTGATGGCACAGTTGGACCCATGGGAAGATCCTGGGTTTACATCCCAGGGTCTCCCTGTATATGCCGGGACACAGTGGACATTAGTGCAATGTGACAGATGTTATTCTGTGATAATTAGTGAATTTAAAGTTCTAACTCAAGTAATTGCCCAACTATAAAAAAAATCTTAATCATAAAAAATCCTGAAAGAGTACTACAATAATAACTTTGCAGCAAGGAACTCTAAAAAAAGGCAAACTAAGCATGGAACTAAAAACCTGGGGATGGATGGTAGTGCAGACAGATGGTAAAACACGCTCTGCAAGGCTGACCTTCATGGGAAGGTTCTGGGTTCATGGTCAAAGATGTACCTGAGTATGCTGGGCACCCACGGGCCCATGATGTAGGGCTGGCTGAGGCCAGATGGGAGCAGAGCATAGGATCAGGATCTTTTTGGGGGTACTATATCTCTCGCTCATGGAAAAAAATAAATTTTTAAAAATTAAAACAAACAAACAAACTCTAAAAAACTGTCTACCATTATCTTGGAGCAATTTATGTTATGATAACTTTATTAGTCATTCTGTTTCATAAATCCTCACCTCTTTTGGAGTTTTATGAGCTGCACAAAGAAAAATCCATTGTTCAGTTGCTGTCATTTGAGTACAAGTATCTGGATGGCATTCACTCTGTTAAAAAAAAATCACGTCTTAATATGTAAAAAATAAAGAAAAAATTTATCATTTGCATTACTACATTTCCACATAAAATTCTATTAATAGAAGAAAATAATTAGAAATTTTAGCCACCTCTTTATAAGTACATTAAGTTACAAAAAAAGAAAATTACTACAATTTTCAAATATAGTTTAACTTAAAGAAATATTACCTGAAGTTTGACAGCAAGTCCATTTAACTCAAGGCAGAATTGTCTGAAAATACAAATACATCAGTGTAAAGTAACATGTATGCTCCACCGTTAAAACTTTCAGATTATTAACTGCAAAGAGAATCCATGTACTATCCTTCCTCCCTCATCACATTAACACCACCTGAACTAGCAATGGTACATATCTTCCAAGAAATAAAGATTAAAAAATAAAGGGACCAGCAGTTAGTGTAATGGCTATGTCGCTAGACTCCCACGTAGTCAACCGTGGTTCAAGTCCCGGACCCAGTGGCTTAAACTCACACTGGGCGCATGCGCATGTGTGCCCAAGATCCCAAGAGGAGAATGGAGGAGAAGGGATTGCGGCGTGACCATCCCCCCTGGGGGGTGATTTCTCGCTTTCTGTCTCTATGTCTCTGTCTGTCTGGCGAGCGCACGCGCCCTATAGCGAAAACCTCTCCAAAAAAAAAAAAAAAAAGAAAGAAAAATTTTTTTACATAAAAATAAATAAATAAATAAAAACCAGGGGAACCAGCAGTTAGCGTAATGGCTATGTCGCTGGATTCCCACGTAGTCGACCATGGTTCGCGTCCTGGACCTGGTGGCTTGGAACTCACGCCGGGCACGTGTGCGTACGTGCCCAAGATCCCGAGAGGAGAATGGAGGAGAAGGGATTGCGGCGTGACCATCCCCCCTGGGGGGTGATTTCTCGCTTTCTGTCTCTATGTCTCTGTCTGTCTGGCGAGCGCACGCGCCCTATAGCGAAAACCTCTCCAAAAAAAAAAAAAAAAAGAAAGAAAAATTTTTTTACATAAAAATAAATAAATAAATAAAAACCAGGGGAACCAGCAGTTAGCGTAATGGCTATGTCGCTGGATTCCCACGTAGTCGACCATGGTTCGCGTCCTGGACCTGGTGGCTTGGAACTCACGCCGGGCACGTGTGCGTACGTGCCCAAGATCCCGAGAGGAGAATGGAGGAGAAGGGATTGCGGCGTGACCATCCCCCCTGGGGGGTGATTTCTCACTTTCTGTCTCTATGTCTCTCTGTCTGGCGAGCGCATGCGTCCTATAGCGAAAACCTCTCCAAATAAGTAAATAAATAAATAAAAACCAGGGCCAGCTGACGGCGTGGCAGCTGGGGTACTGCACTCCCACATGGCCAACTATAGTTCAAGTCCTGGACCTGGTGGCTTGCTTTCTTTTTCTCTTTCTCTCTGTCTTTCTCTGGTGAGCATTTGTATCCTGTAGCAAATTTTAAAAATAATAATGGTGGGAACAGCAAAGGGCATAATGGTGACATCACTTGACTGAACCAGTTTGAGTTCTGGACCTGGTAGCTTAAAATTCATGCTGGATACATGTGCATGCATGCCCAAAATCCCAAGAGGAGAATGGAGGAGAAGGGAATGTGGCATGGCCATGCCACCTGGTGGGTGATTTCTCATTTTCTGCCTCTCTGGTGAATACACATGCCCTATAATAAAACTCTCTCTTAAAAAATAATAATAAGGGAGCAGCGGATGACATAACGGTTCAGGTCGCTAGGCTCCCACGAGGTCGACTGCAGTTCAAGTACTGGACCCAGTGGCTTAAAACTCACACCGGGCATGTGTGTACATACCCAAAATCCCAAGAGAATGGAGAAGGGATTGCAGCATGGCCATCCTCCCTGGGGGGTGATTTCTTGCTTTCTGTCTCTCTGTGTCTCTCTGGTGAGCACACATGCTCTATTATTAAAAAAAACTCCAAAAATAAATAAATAAATAATGGTAATAATAAATGAAATTAAATATTTAAAAAATAAAAAATAAAAACCAATGACTCTAATAAGGTTAAGTACCAAAATTCTATTATGAGAAAATTTTTTTAAAGATTCTAAATAGTTGTTAGAGGTGAGTAAAACATACAACAGATACTTATCTATAATCAAAGTGAATGGATATGTATCAATAATCAAGGTAAAATTTCAGTTACATAAAAAATTATGTGGGGGCCAGAGGGTGGTGTGGTGGTTGAGGTGTTGGATTATCCTCACATGGACGGCCGTGGTTCTAGTCCTGGACCTGGAGGCTTGCTCTTTCACTTTTCTCTCTGGTCAAATTTAAAAGTAATAATAAATAAAATAATCCTTAAAAAAATTATGGGAACCAGCAGATAGCTTAATGGTTATGTTGCTAGACTCCCACACAGTCAACCATGGTTCAAGTTCCAGACCCAGTGGCTTAATCTCATGCCAAGCATGTGTATGTATATGCCCAAAATCCCAAGAAGAGGAAGGAGGAGAAGGGTTTGCAACATGGCTATCCCTCCTGGGGGGGGTGATTTCTCACTTTCTGTCACTCTAGTGAACACATGTGCACTAGAGCAAAAATCTATTTAAAAAAAATTTATGGGGACCAGCAGTTAGCATAATGGCTATGTTGCTGAACTCCCATGTAGTCGACTGCGGTTCGAGTCACGGACCCGGTGGCTTAAACTCATGCCGGTTGCATGTGCATGCATGCCCAAAATCTCGAAAGAAGAATGGAGGAGAAGGGATTGCAGCATGGCCATCCCCCTGAGGGGTGATTTCTCTGATTTCTCGCTTTCTGTCTCTCTCTGTCTTTCTGTCGAGCGCATGCACCCTATAGCAAAAATCTCTCCAAAAAAAAAAAATTATGTTTGTATGTCTATATACAAATAGATATACAGAAAAAAACCTATTCCAGGTTTTGTTCTGACTACAAACAACATATTCCTTATGAAAACTTCAAACATCACCAATAAATAATATAAAAAATATGGATCAGGGGACCCACAGGTAGCATGGTAATTAAAGGTGCTGTGCTGGACTCCCCAACCCAGTCAATCAAAGTTTGAGTCCCTGACCTGATGGCTTAAACTCATCCTAGGCATGTGTGCATGCATGCCCAAAATCCCAAAATGAGAATGGAGTAGAAGAAAGTATGGCATGGCCATCACCCCTGTGGAGTGATTTCTCACTTTCCCTCTCTCTGTATCTGTCTGTCTCTCTCTCCAGTAAGTGCATACACCCTACAGCAAAAACCTAAAAAAAAGGCCTTTTAAAAATAGTAACTATCTCTTGGGGCCAGGTGGTGTCACAGTGGTAATGCAACTGGACCTACATGTGAAGGCCATGGATTCAAGTCCCAGGTTCTCCCTGTTCATACCAGGTACATACACATGCACACTGGTAATTCAGGATGACTGAGACTATGGGTAGATCAAGGTGTGAAGATATTATTAGGGGTACCTGTCTCTCTCTCATGGAAAAAATAAACAAACTATAAAAAACTCTTCCTCTGCCCCACTGTTCCAACATTCTCTCATTAAAACAAAACAAAACAATGATTTTTTTTTTTTGATGTAGGGGCATCCTGTGGCGTGGTGGCTGGATTCCACATGGCTGACTGCATGCTTCCAGTCCCAGACCTAACAGCTTAAGAACTACCAAGTACATGTGTGCATGTGCCTAAAATCCCAAAAGAAGGGAGAAATGAAGGAGAAAGGGCTATGGAGTTACCATTCCTCAAAGGGTGCTTTCTCACTTTCCCTCTCTCTCTTTGTGAAGACACACAACTACTGGTAGTTTTTTTTGTTTGTTTTTTTCAGTTTTTTGCCATAGGGAGTGCACACTTGCTGAGACAGACAGACAGAAAGAGAGATAAAGTGAGATATCAAACCCCACTCTGGGGGAGTAGCTATACTGCAATTCCTTCTTGTCCATTTTCCTCTTAGGATTTTGGGCATGCATGCACACATGTTTGGTGTGTTTCTGAAGCAGCCAGGTCTGGAACTCAGAACTGCACAGAACAGTTGGTCATGTGGGAGTCCAGTGCATTAATCACCATGCCAACTGCTGGCCTCTAACTGGCAAAATTTTTAAAAAATGTATACAATGTGATAAAAAGTCATAAGAATATATACATAATTATAACACATTTTTTTCAAGCTTTCCCCCACAAAAAAAAAGCATTGAGTTAAAAAGAGAGAGAGAGAGAGAGAGAGAGAGGGTTGATAGGTGACATGGTGGATAAGCGCACTGAACTCCCATATAGCTGACCATGGTTCGAGTCCTGGACCTGGAGGCTTGCTTTCTCACTTTCCTCCTCTTTTGCTCTTTCTCTCTCTAGTCAAATTTAAATAAATAAATTAAATAATTCTTTTAAAAAAAAAAACACAACAACAACAACAAAAAGGGGTTGGCAGGTGACGTGGTGGTTAAAGGAGCTGGACTCCCACATAGCCAACCACAGTTCAAGTCCTGGACCTGGTGGCTTCTTTTCTTACATTCTCCTCTCTCTCTCTCCCTCCCTCTCTCTCTCTGTCTCCCTCTGGTCAAATTTAAATAAATAAATAAAGTTAAATAAACTAATTCTTAAAAAAAAAAATACAAATGACAGCATCAGCACAAATAAAACATGCAAAAAGAAAGATTTTATATAAAGTTTCATATAAAGCTTTTATGTTCTGTATCATGCATATTTCATAGTATGTACAAATGAAGTAGGAAAGAAAATGTTTTCTTAAAATAAAAACCTTGTACTCTAGGCTTGCCAGATGGTGTAGTAATTGAGGTAGGTGGATCCCACATGGCCAACTGCATGGTCCTAATCTCGGAACTGGCAACTTGAAAAATACACCAAGCACATATGCATGCATGCCCCAAATCCCAAGGAGAAGGGACTGTGGTGTGGTCATCCTCCCTGAGGGGTGCTTTCTTAACCCCCCCACCTCCTTCTGGCAAGAACATGCTCCCTATAGTAAATTTAAAAAAACAAAACAAAACAAAAAAACCTTGTTCCCTAAAATCTTTTCTTAGAAATTATGTGGGTTTTTTTGCTTGTTTGTTTGTTTTTTGCTATAGGGCACATGTGCTCGCCAGAAAGACAAAAAGAGACAGAGAGACAGAAAGCAAGAAATCAACCCCCAGGGGGGGATAGCCACACCACAATCCCTTCTCCTCCATTCTCCTCTCAAGATCTTGGGCATGCACGCACACGTGCCTGGCATGAGTTAAAGCCACCAGGTCTGGGACTCGAACCACGTGAGAATCCAGCGACATAGCCATTACGCCAACTGCTGGTCCTTAGGAATTATGTCTGTAGTAAAGAAAACATGCTCTCTTATTGTCATCATTAATGCCAAAAAAAAAAGTTATTTTTGGGACCAGCAGATGTCCTAATGGTTATGTCACTGGACTCCCACATGGCTGATCATGGATTGAGTCTTAGACCTGGAGGCTTGAAACATGCCAGGCGCATGTCCATGCATGCCCAGAATCCCAAGAAGAGAATGGAGGAGAAGGGACTGCAGCGTGGCTATCCCTGCTGGGGGGATGATTTCTCATTTTCTATCTGTGTCTGTCTCTCCGGTGGGTACACACACCCTACAGCAAAAAAAAAAAAAAATCTCTCTATAAAAATAAAAAAGAAAAGTAGTTATTTTCAAGGCTGACTAAAGCGAGGCAAAGAATATATGAAAGTACTCTTTTTGTCATGACATATAAGAATGGAAAAATATCTATAGACTCATACTTTCAATATTATGCATTGAGATGTATACAAAAAATTAGATCGAATAGTCAAATGACATGTTCAAGTCACTGACAAAGGGTACAAAGACATCTTAGTGTCCTAAAATTGCTAAGTTGTTATGACAAGACATTATGTCTTAGCAATATCTAAACAAACATGTAACATCAAGAAATGTGGGGGGGTGGAGGGGTACATTGTATGTTATCTACAAGTTGAGGCACTCAACATAGGAAAGGTGGTGAGGTTTATTCAAGGAAAGTCATATTTCAACTCCATTTATTATCTCTTGGGTTAGAAAAGTCATGATGTGTTTTTCTATATAAAAATGAGCCATGACTTTTCTGCAGAACCAATAAAAATCAATTCAAAAGCAACAAGTCCCAGTGAACATACACTGTATTCTCTGTATTTAATTTGTCAACTCATTCCACCTCCCATTTGCACTATAAAGTTTATAACATCAAGAAACACAGGCCAGCTGTGGTGCTATAATGTAATATGGCACTTCATGATACTGAAGACACATGAGATGGTTTGAATCCTAACATCTACCTGCACACACCACATGCCCATGACCAGACTGTCTGGAGCTGGGGGTGGATCATGGCATGAAGACCCTTTTTGGGGTGTCTGTTTTGCTTTCTTTCTCTTTCATGGAAGAAATAAATGAACAGCAAAAAAAAAAGAAAAAAAAAATCTAGGGCCAACAGATGTGGTGTGTCTGTTTTGCTTTCTTTCTCTTTCATGGAAGAAATAAATGAACAGCAAAAAAAAAAGAAAAAAAAAAATCTAGGGCCAACAGATGATGTGGTGGTTAAGGTGCTGAACTTCCACATGGTCAACTACATTCAAGTCCTGGACCCAGGGGATTGAAAATCACTCCAGGTGCATGTGCTTGTGTGCCCAAAATCCCAGGAAGAGAAGCAACTGGAGCATGGCCATCCCCCTTAGGAGGTGATTTCTCACTTGTTCTCTCTGGTCAGCACAAACATCCTATGGCAAAAAAAACCTTAGAAAGAAAGAAAGAAAAAAAAAATATATATATACACACACACACACACATACAAACCCCTCAGGATATAGCTATATAGCTGCTTCTTTTAAAAAAAAAAAAAAAAAGATTTATTTCATTTCATTTAGTCATTGATTTGTCTTTTAATCTGACCAGAGAGAGAGAAAGTGGGAAAGCAAGCCACCAGGTCTGGGACTCGAAAAGTGGCTGGCCATGTGGGAGAGTGTCTAGCGCCTTAACCACGATGCCACCTGCTGGTCCATGAGCTGCTTCTAAAGGTTAAATATCTAAAAGATAGTCATCAATGTTCTCATTAAAAGATTATTACAACAAGAACCAAAACTACTCACTTCAGGATATAATTAATCTCTATTTAACAAAGGTAAAACTGGAAGTTCATAGGTAACTCATCAGATACCAAACCTAGACCTGGACTAGAAGTGATCCTTCATGAAGAAATATAATTGACTCTGAAACCACTTTTCAAATCAAGTGACTTTGGGCCAGCAGATGACATAGTGTTTAGATCACTAGACGCCCCCATGGCCAATCACAGTTCAAGTCCCAGACCCAGTGACTGAAACTCATGTCGGGTGCGTGTGCACGCATACCCAAGAACCTAGGAGGAGAATGGAGGAGAAGGGATTGAGGCATGGCCATCCCCCAAGGGGGTGATTTCTTCTTCTCCCTCTCACTGTCTCTGTCTCTCTCTAGCGAACACATGCACCCTAAAGTAAAAAAAAGAAAACAGAAAAAGTGACTTTACAACAGTACTTGATTTAGAAACAACCAGTGAGAACTATATGACACTGAAAACAGAAAAACTTTATAATGTGTTTTTTTGGTCTACAGTTACATAGTAAAGTTATGATTAATAATTATCACTTTAAAGGTTATTTATACTAGTAGAAGTACTATTACTATTTTGATATATCATAAGAACCTACCTTAAATGTTCATACTTCCATACACCTTCATCTTGGCCTTCAGGTGGTTCAAGAATTTTGTCAATATTGGAGCAGTCTGCCCTTATGTTCTGCTGAATATACTATTAACAAAGAAGTATTTATAATTAATTACATATTATCCTACATAGTAAATCTTATGCCAAATACATATATATTTTGAATACATAACTGCTCTTGTGGTTCATATTTTGGATTAAACACTAAATAGGAAACCAAGTATAGAATCACAATTAGTAACTCAGAAGAAAGGAAGTAACCTACTTATTTTCCAATTTAACTTCTTTGGGATAGCATCTACTACATGAGTGCAAATATGGTAGTTATCGTAATTGAAACTGGGATCAACACTGTAGGGGCCAGGTGGTGGCACAACTGGATCCACAAGGAAAAGGTCCATGAGCACGTGGGAAGGACCTCCCTGAGCATGCAGGAAGTTGCTGAGACTGGGGGTGGGTAGCAGAGTGAGGATCTTGTTGGGGGGGATGCATTTCTGTCTCTGTCTCTCTCTCTCCCTCATGGAAGAAATAAATGAATAAACTTTGAAAAAAAGATTGCTGACTGTAACTTTCATATGAACTTAAGATACAAACAATGTAAATACAACTATGGCTCATATTGTATGATTCTATTTATATGGAGATTCTAGAATAAGCAAATCTACAGAGATAGAAAATAGATTAGCAGTTTCTTAGAGCCTGTGGAGAAGAGAGGAAGGTGGAGAATGAAGGTTCTACTAACGGAATAAAGTTTCTTTTACAGAGGATAAAAATATTCTCTAATAAGATGTGGTGATAGCTGTACAACCCTGTGAATATAAGCAAAGAACTGTACATTTTAAATAAGATTTGTATGATATGTTAATATCCAATAAAAGTCATTTTGGGGGCCAGCCAGTGGTATGGTGGTTAAGGTAGCTGGATTCTATATGGCTGGTTAAGCAGTTTGAGTCCCAGACTCAGCACAGCTTGAAAAACACGTCGGGACCATATGCATGCGTGCCCAAAATCCCAAGAGGAGAATAGAGAAGGGATTGTGGCCACAGGACAACATGTGCTTTTGTTGTTGCTCTCATAACCAACATTGGGTATCAAGATTTGGCCCTTGAGTCTTCTCCACATCCTGTTGTCGGTACCTCTGAGTTTCTGCCAACTGTGCTTAATTTTGACATATTGGTCTGACTGGTGACAGATAAATTTCTTGGGCCTCTTTTTAACAATCCTGGGCTTCACAAGTGTTCTCTGAATGGCCATGTTACCAAGTAGGAGATGGATGCCACCTTCACAGGCAACTCTGAGGAAGAGAGAGCTATTCCCACCATTCTTTCTATAAAGCTTTATTCATTTACTTATTTTAGATTTTTTTTGCCACAAGAGTGCATGCACTCACTGGATAGAGGCAAAGTGAAAAATCACCCCTCAAGAGAGAATGGCCAAGTGACAATCCCTCCTTCATGCTCTTCTCAGGACTTTAAGCATGTGCTAGTCTCAAGCTGCCAGATCCGGGATTCTAAACGTGATCAGCTATGTGGAAATCCAGTGTCTTACCTACCACACCACCTGCTGGCCCCATCTACAGAACTCTTATCAGCGTTTATTTCACCTAATAGGACTTATTTTCATGTGTCTCCCTCAAATAGTGAGTCTCAGAACATGAAGACAATATTGTTTTGAATTTCTACTATTAGCACTTAGCACATAGGAGGTTTATAATAAATATGTATTGACTTCAAATAAACCACATTACTTGGAGTCAGCAATAAAGATAAATAATAGTCTGGAATGTTAAAGCTATAAGGGTAGGAATGAAAAGGAAAGATAGGACTGAAAAAAATGTACCCAAAATGAAGTAAAGACCTTTAATCTCTTACTTTCTTTGGTGATATCAAAATCAGTTTGAGGAACCAGCAGTTAGTGTAATGGCTATGTCGCTGAACTCCCACGTAGTCAACCGTGGTTCGTGTCCCAGACCCAGTGGCTTAAAACTCACGCCAGGCGCATGTGCGTGCGTGCCCAAGATCCCGAGAAGAGAACGGAGGAGAAGGGACTGCAGCATGACCATCCCCCCTGGGGGGTGATTTCTCGCTTTCTGTCTCTATGTCTCTCTCTGTCTGTCTGGCGAGTGCATGCGCCCTATAGCAAAAACCTCTCCAAAAAAAAAAAAAAATCAGTTTGCACAAAAAAATATTCTCTGCAAATGGTTTGTTCATAATCAATTTTAATGGTTTAATTACATATTTGGTAGCTGAATTTACTTATCATTATTAAACTGTTATTAAGAGGATGCTATAGTTTGAATGTGTCTCCCAAAGTTCATGGTGCAATTTGATCCCCAATGCTGTGATGTTTGTTGGGAGGTGGAGCTTAATGTGAGGTGTTTGGTATTAACATGAACGCTATTATCTCAGAGTGAGTTTGTTACTGTGGGAAGGGGTTTCTTAAGAAGATGAATTTGGCTCCTGCACATACACACTGCATTCCCTCTTACCCATTCCCTCTTTGCTCTTCTGCCATGTGACAATGCAGGAAGAAGGCTGATACCAGATGCAGCCCCTCAATTTTGGACTTCACAACATCCACGACCATGAAGCAATAAATTCTTATTCATTATAAATTAACCCAATATGGATCCTGAGAAGAATAATAAACTTCTCTCTGAAATATTGATTTCCTTGACCAAAAAAGATTTTCTGCTGACACTTCTTACTCCAAATTCATTTTTAGTGGTCTCTACATAGTAAGTGTCTAGATAGGTACAAGTGAACAGCTTCCAAACATCTGAATACCATTAGGGTCAGAATATTCCTCTATTCCCACTGAATCTGATACTCAAAGAGTGAAAACAGAATGGAAGAGAGATTGAAGATCATCTCCTTCTGGATGCTTCTGAACACTCTGATTGAAATTCAAGAATTAGGAAGAAAAAGTCCTCTTCTCCAAGGGAAAATAATAACTCCTCTTCATTCTCAGATAGTACAATGAAACTCATGAAAATGCCTGATAAAGAATTTAGAATATTTATAATGACAAAGCTAACAGAGTTGAAAAAGAAGAGAGACAATGAACTGCAGAAGAGGCAGGAGAAAGCTGAGGAGTTCCAAGAGGTGAGGAAATTTTTGCCAGATCTAAAAGAGAAAATGCACACTATAAAAAAGAATCAAATGGACCTGTTAAGAGATGAAGGCTATAATACAGGAAGTCAAAACCTCCCTTCAAAGTAGTAAAAGCAGACTAGACCATTCAGAAAATCGAATCTCAGATGTAGAAGACTGAATTGCTGGCCTAAAAATATCCACCACAAAGACCGAGAAAATAACTCCAAAAAAGTCAAAATAATATATGAAAACTACTAGATACCATCAAACGTCCAAACATCTGGATAACTGGTATCCCAGAAGGTAAAGAGATGCATAAGGGCATTGATAATCTATTCCATGAAATCCTGTAAGAAAACTTTCTAAACCTAGAGCAGGAAGTATACAGACCCAAGAAACACAAAGTACCCCAAATAGAATCAACCCAAGATCTTCTCCAAGAGACATTATAGCCAGATTGACCACAAACCACCGGCAAAGACAAAATACTAAGACTGGCACTTGGCAAGAGAGAAACGGCAAGTTACCTACAGAGGATATCCCATTAGGCTAACAGTGGACCTCTCCTTGGAAATAATGCGAGCAAGGAAAGAATGGAAAATGTATTCGAAGTGTTAAGGGAACACCACCATATCAAAGCACAGCCTTACAGGATGTTCCATATTATCAGAATTGCCTTTCAGAGGGACTTAGGAGAGTTCATGGCCATGGAGAAGAACTCTAACTCTATTATCTCCAATAGGAAGGAGAGAAGAAGAAAGAAGAAGGGAAGAGGGGAGGGAGGGAGGAGGAAAGAGAGAAAGAGAAATAAACATCAAAATCTTCAGGAGGATTAAGTCTCATAACTATTATTACTTGATTAGGATTCTGAGTAAAATAAAAAGAACACATTTTAAAAGGAATTGTCATCATCCAAGAATACTATGTAGGCAAGATTATCTTCGAAATGAGAAGAAGTAAAATCATTCCCAAATTAAAAAAAAAAAAAAAAACTGAAAGAATTTACCAATACCAGACCAGATCTCCAAGAAGTTCTCAAGGGAGTGCTATACCAGGAAAATTAAATACAGATAAACAGAAATGAGAATTCAAAACTTAAGAAAATGGCCAAGTTAATGATAGGGACAAGTCTGGAGTTGAATATTATATCCCAGAATTTAATCGGGTGGATCAAGCCACAACAGAAGATAAAGTACATGAGACTGAACTGATAAAAGAGAATTTTATGATTTTTGTCTAAAACATTGCTGATTTTCTTCTAGGCTTTGTTTTCCGGTTTTAAAGATTTCTGTCTAGTTTTGAGCTCCCTTTAGGTTCATGTTCTTACTATTTGAACAGGATCCTAACCTGTTTCCTGGCTTTAAGTTTTAAGCAAAGTTCCTTAGTATTTCTTTGATTTTTAAAGCTAAAACTGCTTTTCTTGAAATTAAAAAATATATTAAAAAATGTCTATTTAAAGACTTTAGTAAGCTATATAGCATCAGCCAGGTGCTACCTTATAGTATATTCATTCTAGTCAGTTTCACGCCTAAAGTCAGACATGTATTCACAGATAAGTACATACCAGCTGAACTTGCTACTGGAAGTAGTTAAATTAATAAATTTTGTGAATCAATAAAATGTGGGGGGAAAAAGGAATGGAAAACAGCGGTAGACACCTGTGATAGTGTGGGAGGAGAGTGGGAAATGGCACAAGGTTAGAAATAGGGGTAAAACATATATATACACACATGAAACTAGAAATGGAAAATTACTGACGATAACATGTATGATTAAGCCACTATGTGGTATATTCTGGATGGGAAATCATATTTTGCATGCTATGACAATGTTCAGGGAATGAATGTAAATTAATTTAAAAAAATGTTTCTGAAGAAAAAATGGTGGGCTGAGCTGTGTGACCACCATGTGTTCTAACAGCATAATTCACTGAACAATGGCAAAATGTTCTCGCAAGTTGAGGGGTGATTTTAAATTAATTGTCCTTTT